ATGCACCCAGGTGGAGCTGTGGGCCCAGGGAGCAGTTAGGGATTAGGCGTCTTGCTCAAGGACACCACAACATGTAGGCGTGGCGGGGAGTTGAACATGCGAATTTCTGGTCCCAAGTCGGCTGCCCTACCTCTACCATCTCGGCCCCTGACTGGGCAGTAATTTAGTGATTACTGGTGTATCAGCAGCACAAGTATACAAGTATGCTTTCACGGTACATTTTATTAATAGATATCATGGCTGGACTTGTGCACACTGAGGCTTATGTAGGTAATTATGTCCTAATGAGTCTGTTTAAAATTTAAGTTTGAGTTCATCAAGCACTGTTTTTTTTTCTTCAGTTACCTAAATTTAGGTCAGTGCTGGCGATGAATAGCAATCACATGCGACGAGCTGAATCCAGGTTTCAAAACCTGTAGGTAGCACCGCACAATCCACAAATACCCGATCTTGGGTTGCATTAAGCGCTCACTTGAAATGTCAAGGTCATTACAGTAATTTTGAGCCTTGTGTCTTTTCCACTGCCTCCCTAGAAGTGTTATAAACAACACTTCTTTTTTTTTTTTCTAAATTAAGTGTAGACTTTCCCATGATTTCCACTTTGAGCAATTTTCATCAAGGCAGCTTTTTTTTTCAAATCTGTTGGGGGAAACTAATAACGCTGGCCTTCTGGCGGATTCTCCTGAGGTCTACTCTAAAATTCCAAGAATATCCCAGTTTTTCTACAGTGCATTTGGAATTCTCTTTTATCGTCTGGAGTTGAATCAGAGCTTCAAATAGGTGGACATGGTGCCCTTGACAGTGGCTAAAAAGAAATCCATGAGGGCAGCATTGATTTACAAACCCAGTTTGAATGTTTAAGTTTTTTTTCCCCTTCCCTCCTAATGGTACTTCAGAATGTTCTGATTGCACCATGAGTGCCCTCAGTGATAGTCTTTGAAGTGTTTGAAGCCCTGTGCTGAAGCTCAGTGTGTGCTTATATCCGGAGCTTTTGTTAGTCAGTTTATATGTAGTGAGTCCTGCGCCTTCATTATTCAGTGATTCACACTGTGCAGCCAAAACACTCACTCTTATCTGTTAAGGGGCTGCAGAGACGCAGTCAGACAGCTCTGGGTGGGTGGATGGGAGGGGTGGGGGGGGTTGAGAGAAAATAAAAAGAAAAATAGAAAGAGTCTTTCTCTTCCTCTCCTATGGGAAACGACTTTCCTCTATTCCTTTTCTCTACATGAAGCCAAAGAGCATCCCCACGTCAAGCGCTTTAGATCTTGAATATTCACGCTGGTGGTATTTTAGCATCTGTAGGTGGCGAGGCTTTGCAGAGACTGGAGAGTGTGTGAAGTATTGATCACGGCTGCTGTTGTCCTTGTTTGCGCTGTCTCACAGTGCCAGCTACCTCTCCGAGCAAAATGGTTGGATAGAAACAAAAGCAGAATGGAGGTTGGTGTTATAAAACTTATGTGTGCACAAGGGATTAGCTGAATACAGGGAGACTTTAGTTAACGATGAATACCAGAAACAACTATATAATGGCATGCAGCACAGAAAATATGTCATTATTTGCTGAGCATATTTAACTAATCCTAGAATTATTGATGAATTAATTAGATATTGCATTTGTTTTAATATTTTTATTAAACTCATCCTGTCTCACTAAGTTAATGGTAAAAAAAAAAAATAAAAGGAAAGAAAATGGTTCCCAACCCTGGTCCTCAAGGAGCGCTAGCCTGCATGTTTTAGTTGTTTCCCTGCTCCAACACACTCCATTCAGTGATTTAATTACCTCCTCACATTCTGCAGAAGCCTATTAATCACCCATTCATTCAAATCAGGTGCCTCGAAGCCGGGAAACAGCTAAAACATGCAGGATAATGTTTCTAGAGGGCCAGGGTTGGGAACCACTTGTCGATACTATCAAATTTGCCTGAAATAGCGAGCACAACAAGTAAAAAGTCTAACAAGGTTAAGTCAGGTCCTCTGGACGGATTCTTAATCAAGAATCCGTCCAGAGGACCTGATATAACCTTATTAGACTTATCTGCCTGGATTATTGAGCGTGCATCAGAACAAGCAAAAAGATACATGTTAGGAAGGAATGGTAGATGGTGTGAAGCTGGAGAATTTACTTTGATTCAGACTTTTATTAATGTTTTTTTTGGGGGGGGGGGGTCACTTTGTTTTGATCAAGGGGCAGCATAGCAGAGTTGGTAGAACAGTTTCCTCTCAGCAAGAAGGTTGCAGGATCATCTCCTGGTCTGGGATCTTTCTTGGTAGAGTTTGAATATTCTCTCTGTGCACACATGGGTTTTCTACGGGAACTTCGATTTCCTCCCACAGACCAAAAGCATGCATTGGATTAATTGGTAACTCTAAATCGTCCTTAGATGAGAGTGTGAATATTTGTGTCCTGTTTGTCTCTATGTAGTCCTATGAATGACTTGCAGCCTGTCCATGTAAGGAACTCTCGTGAGGGTTTGGACCAAGATCACAACACAACAG